TGTAATGAATTATTGAACCCAGGTGAAAGCAGAGAGTGCTGTAGGAGGCAATGGTTGATGTGAGAACAGGGTAAAGAAGGTTGTAGGGTAGAGGCATATCTGACCTCTGCTTTATAGGAATCGGCCTCAGACTAACGCTGAGTTGATTCTTTATGATTCCTTATGAAGCCAAAAGAATTCAGACATGGCTCCCACATGGTTTTTGTATCTACAGAATGGGACTGTGTGTGGGTCAAGGGCAATCTATACAAGGAGGTGACATCTGAGGCAGGACCCTAGAGTAGTTGCAGGGAGAGTATGCCAGGCAGAAGCGATCGCAAGGGCACAGGCGCAGAGGCTGTACTTAGGAGTAACAGGAAGGTTAATATGACAGAGGTATAGAGGGGAGCGGGTCCTGAGCTCAGAGTAGTTGTAAAGTCTCATGACAACCCATTGCTCTCCAGTGAAGTCCAACTCATAGGACAGAACAGAGCTGCCCTATGTTGTTTCCAAGGCTATAAATCTTCATGGAAGCAGACTGCCACATCACATCTTCTCCCATGGAGAGGCCGGTGGGCTCAAACCACTGATCCTTCAGTTAGCAATTGAGTGCTTAGCCACTGTGCCACCAGAGTGCCTTCCCAGAGGGTGGATCTGAGCCTAAGATTTTCTTCTCTTTCTGAGAGGAGCCAAGGCCTGGCGGTTGTAACATCTGGTGGCTTTGTCATTGACTGCAAGCTTTCCCCCTGTTGCCAGCAAGGTCAGAGGCCAGAGCAGGAAAAGAAGGAGCCGTGGACACCGCCAAGCTTCTGAGTCTTCCTCCACATGCTACAGGCTGCCAGAAAGTCTAGCAATATTTGGGATGATGGGTTCTCACAGGCACAGGGTTCCAAGAAAACAGAGATGAAGCCTAGGCCTAATGGCCAGGTGGAGGGCACACTGCGCCCCCCCATCATGTGTTTGGGGCACATCAGCTGTGTCTGCTGCCACTCTCTTGGGAACTAAGGGGTGAATCATCCCAAGGCATGTTCCAGAAAGCATAGTACACACCCTCCGGCAGAGACTGTGTGATGGTTAAGAGTTAGGACAAAGACATTATTCCTGCTTGCCACCACCCAGGCCTGAGATTCAGGTCAATCCCTATTTATTGACAGCTCTTTGGGAAGAGTAGTAGAATTTATGGGGGCTTACCTGGAAATGCAAGGATCCAACTGAAATTGAATCCCATTTCTCTTCTTCAAAAGCCTTTGTCCCATTGGTAACAATATTGGCACGGAAACGTGAGATGAGATCACTCATTGGGAACAATTCTTCCTTTCCATTCTCGTCACTGTTTAAGACATATCCAAAAAGGAAAGTAGTTGTTAAGTGCCATCTAGTCAGTTTCAATTCATAGTGACCCTGTCTGGGGTTTCAGAGGAGCGGCTGGCAGATTTGAACCTCCGACCTTGCAGTTAGCAGATCAGTGCTTACCCGACAGCCCCGCACCAGAGGTAGGAAATAATTGCTTGTTGTAATAATTCAACCTGCCTGCCCTGTGGCGTCTGCCTTGATCAACTCTACTCTGGCCAGATGCCTGAATGATCAGGACAAGCTTTTACCAGCAAAATAAAGTCAAGGGACATTCATGTGTCACATAGACATTGGCTACTACAGAGTATGGTTCTGTCTCCAGGGCCAGGAGGTACTTCAAAGTGTGAGCAGATCTGAGCTGGAAATCAGGTGAACAGGTACACGGACCTTATTCCCAGGGGCAAGAGGTTATACTTTACTGCTCTTCCAGAGGTAGGAGACCTTACCTAACATTTAATTGCTGCTGAAGTTCCAAAACACTTGATCTGTTCAGCAGCAGATACTGAGCTTCATTCACCAAAGAAAGGGTAGCTGTTGTACCAGGAGACTGATCTGAAAACAATGGAGCATTTAAAAGGAGAGATGCTTTCTTGGAATGCAACTGAATCTTGCTTCTGGCTGACTTGCATTTTTCAAAGGTTGATACTAATTCTGTAACAGAAGAAATGGTTGCCCTGACAAGAATAATAACATTCTAAGCCTGGCTCAAACCTCTCATACATGGGAAGGAAAATGAGATCCTAGAATATTCTATCTTAAGTAATTTGAAAAAACAAACAAAACTAAACTAGAACACTGAGTTGAAATCATGTCAGGGCAGTAGGAAGGGCCTTGATAAGGGAACAAAAGGGACATCTTAAGAATCTAATTAGTGGAAACAATTCATCTTTGTGTAAGTACCAAATAATTAACATTAGAAATAAGTAAGTCTTAAAATTATTAGAACTGCAGGCAACCTGCCTCTAGCTTCTGGTGCCCACGCCCCCCACCCCCCACCCCTCATCTTTCATCCATCCACACCAAAAATCAGTTGAATTGAGTCTTTTCTGACTCATAAGTGGTTTCATGATTGTGAGCAATCAGAAGTAGATTACCAGGCCTTGCTTCCAAAGTGTCTCTGGATGGATTTGATCCTCCAACCTTCTGGTTAGTAACAGAGTGCTTAACTGTTTGCACCACCCCAAGACGCCTGTCTTTATGCAAGGTGCTGATTTTAAAACAGGTATGCTGGGCAGCTTTCAAACCAGCTTGTGGAGCTGATAAAAAAAGGTAGGCTGAGCAGCTTTCAAACCAGCTTGTGGAGCCCAGAGTCTATAAGAATGGAAACATGTCAGAGAATTGGTTTCCAAATCCTCCATTGGCAACAATCCTTCTTGTTGAAATGGCTCTGCCAGAGAATAGAAGTATGATCCCAGTTCCATTCATAAAAGACTCTTTGCCCACTCCAGAGAAGGCAGACTCTCCTACAGTGGATTGTCCCTGGGGGGTAAACACTTCCAGGGTAGAAAACAAAAGCCCCATTCACAACCTGGAGTGGTGCTAAGAAAATAAGTCTCCAAAGCTTGAATGATCCCTGTGTAGGTAAGGTAGAGTACAAGTCTTTGCAACACCCAATTAAGTCATCTAGTGACAGGTCATTAAAGTCATTTTTATTTCAATTCCTGTACTTCCTTGGGTACCTCAGGAGAAAGGTCCCAGTGAAGGCGCATTCACCAAAGTCTTTATTTACAAAAGCAAAGTGCAGAACACCAGGCTTTCCAGGCCCTAACACGACAGTCTTTCACGAACATGGGGATTAATGGTCAGCCAACACTCTCATTAAGAGATTCCTTTTCAACAATTTTTTTTCTCCAGGTATAATGTTTCAAAAATAGGAAAATGTGTTGCTTTGATCAACTATTAATAAAAATGATAATAATAATCCAGAAGAAATTCCCTAATAATTAGAACCTTATCATCACAGTAAACTTTTAAAATATGTATCTATTTCAATTTATAGACATATTCTAGCTTCAAATTAGTATGGTGATCAAAAGATTTTCAGTATTATTTCACTAATAAAATATTTAAAATTAAGGTACAATTTTGACCGGGAAGTGGAGTGGAAATGTAAGTTCAAAGAGAAAAAGGAAAGAAATAAAATTTCTAACCTTATAGGATAATGTGTTTATATCTGTATATATACACAAACAAATTTGTTTATTTTTTTAATGAATATTCATGGGAATAAAATTGCTATGGTATTGAGATTCCACTGGCCATGTTTAAAACAGTAAGATACAAAAATATTTACAAAATTTCAGAAGTCATATCGTTTGCAATGATTTTAACTATTTAAAAATTTTAGAAGAAAAGATAAACATGTAAATGGGGACTGTAGTTTAAAAAAAAAAATTCTTTGGGATATTAATGCAAAACTGAGGACCAGTGGTCTAGACCATCAGAGACCTCTCCACCCTACGCTGCATCTTTGGGGTATAAATGTTCACAAACAACAGATGTCACACTCATCTCTGTGACCACCACCTTGGGCTCACCCAGGTCCTCCCTCTCTCATGAGAGCAGTCACAGCTGTCTCTTGCCTAACACCTTTGCTTCCCACCATCCCTCAACCACCCTTCACATCACACTACCTAATACAAGTTGCCTTCTTTGATGAGTCCCTGCAACTGCAGACTCCTTTGAATCTGATTTCCTCAAAGATGCTCTTCCCCATCACTTCCCTGCCACCTCTGACTCTCCTAAACCCCTCTCTGAACCCATGTCATGTCAAGCCCTGCCTTGCTGCTCTTCTGCCTCAGTCAGCCTAGGAAATACCTACTATCCTATTAAGACACAATTCCAAACTTGTCTCTTCTGGAAGCCTTCTGTGCCTCACTTCCAGTCCTAGCATATGGCTCCTGCATGTACCACTGTCCCTATCTGATGGTGACTCATGTCCCCTAAAGTGAGACCCTGAAGTTCTAGGACCACAGTTTAATAATGTCAGCCGAGCTCCTGGTAGATAGGAGGTGCTCAATAAATTATTGAGTGACTTGTTGCTGTTGTTGTTAAGTGCCATTGAATTGGTTCCAATTCAATTTCTGAGGAGTGGCTGGTGAGCTTGAACCACCAACCTTACAGTTCAAACTGACCTGGCAGTCCAGTGCATTAACCCACAGCACCACACCAGCACTCACTGAATGACTAAAACTTCAAATTTCACTACCACTCTCTTGTCCAGGTCATTTGTAAGGACGACACCCAATTCTGATGGATCCTGTACCTTGCAAATCTCTGTCCATGGATGTCTAATTCTCCCTCCCCTTTAATCAAGTCTCTAATCCCATGACCGAACACCTCTGCAGCCAAGTGAGTATAAGCTTACTCCCCTCTCCCTCTTCTCCATCATGTATTCAAGTTCATGACAGGAAAAAACGATCAAGTTTTAAAACTTTATCTAAACTCTTCAGCTTCCATTTTTACTGTGCATTTTTTAGGATGCATAAGTCAATCTATGTAGGTCCTTAGGCCTGGTGGCATGATGGTTACTCACACTGCTAACAGAAAGGTTGGGGGTTCAAATCCACCCATTTGGCTCTATTGAAGAAAGACCTGGTGGTCTCCTCCTGTAAAGATTAAAGCCTAGAAACACCTGCAGGCAGTTCTACTTTGTCATATGTAGTCACTACGAGTTGGAATAGACTCAATGACACCTAACAACAGTGGTCTCTATATGGGAAAAATGTTATTCAGGTTGACAGGCCAGTCTTCTTGGCCAATACACCAGCTCATTTCAGCACAGACAACAATGTTGTAATGATCCATTTATTCATTCATCTCATATTTACTGAGCAACTACTACGTGCCAGATGCTGTTCTGAGCCCTGAGGATACAACACAGCAAAACAAATAAAAATCCTCCTCTTCAAAATGTGTATAAAAATTATTGCATGAAAAACTGATGTTTTGTAAACCTTCACCCAATTCACAATTGTTGTTCTCGTTAAGCACCATTGAGTCAGTTCCAACTCACAGCAACCCTGTATAGGGTTTACATGGAGTAGGTGCTGATCTCGAACCTCCGACCTTACAGTTCAAACTGGCCCTGCAGTCCAGTGCATTAACCCACAGAGCCACACCAGGACTCCAAAAGTTAAAAAATAAAAATCTCCTTATGGCATTTTCTAGTAGATAGAAGACAGAGTATAAAGCAAATTAACAAAAAATAAACCAGGGAAGGGAACCAGGGAGTTCAGATAACGGCTATAGTTCTAAAGGGATAACATTTGAGCAGATGAATGAAAATGTTCCTTTCTTTACATATGCTACTGTTAACTTTCAAAGTACTTTCTTCTCCGTCTTAAATCACCCTAGCAACATCATATTGTTGTTGTTCAGTGCTGTCTAGTTGATTCCAACCCATAGGGACCCTGTACAGGGTTTCCGAAGAGCAGTTGATGAGCTTGAACTGCAACCTTGCGGTACAAACCAACTATACAGTCCAGCACATTAACCCACAGGGCCACATCAGGACTCCAGCAACACCTTAGCATGGGAAAAACTGTCAAAATGTATCAAAATGATCACATGACAGAATTTTGTAAGACAAATTACTTCTTCATTGCAAATACTTTTTTCTAAACAATATTAAAGACAACTATACAAATGTGGCACTGTGAGTTAATGCGCTGGATCGCAAAGTCGGTTTGAGTCTAACAATCAGTTGAGTCCTGAAGTTGTAGCACCATGGGTTTATGACTTGCCAAGGTCTCACAGCTATTTGATCCTAGAGTCAAGTCTAGAAACCCTGGTTTCCTTGTTCTTAGTTCTGATCTGAAGGCATAGCAACATACCAGGTGTTTCATTTAATAAACATGAAGGACTGATGAAGGCTTCAGCCCAGCACAGCAGCTGGCCAAAGCCCTCCTAAGGTTAAGATGCGGCCCCATGACATGCTGACCTTGAAGACTTTATAGCACGTTTCTGTCAAAGTCTGACCAACCTGCTCTCCTTGCTATAAGCAAGCGTCTCTGTGACTCCATTTCATGGACTGCTTTTGACGTATACCTGCCCCTAAAAACCAACCCAAAATGTGATAGATACCTTTTCCATGTTTCTTCTTAGCATTTCTTTGGAAGTTTGAACTTTGTTTGATCAAATGACACTCACGGCCAAAAAGCTCTGACAGCCATCTAGAAATTTTTTCTCCACAGTCATAAGTATTTACTCTGGCAAAAAAAAAAAAAAAAAAGAGGGGGGAGGTTGGGGAGAGTGGGTTGGGGTTGGGGTTGGGGTTGGAGATATATTAAATATATCTTTAAATAACAATCTTAACTGTATAAAAAATAAATTCAGAAATAAAAGCATTGTGCCCACCCCCTGAGAGAGGTGTGCCGAAATGACAGGAGTGAACAGGAAGTTACATGGAGATCTCCAAGGCACCAGAAGGCACTCACGCAGGAGCATATGTGAAGCTGTCAGACCAGATTAAAAGCTTTGGAAGGAGCCCTGGTAGAGCAATGGTTAAGCATTCAATTGTTAACTGAAAGATTGATGGTTTGAGTCCATCCAGTAGCTTCATGGGAGATCTGTTCCCATAAAGATTATAGCCTAGAAACCCTATGGGGTAGTTTTCCTCTGTCACATGGGGTTGCTATGAGTCGAAAATGATTTGCCTTTATAACAACAACAGAAAACTTCAGAGGTTCTTTTGTTAGTATTAATTATTGCCACTGAGAATCACAAAGCTTAGAATTTGAGACTTTACAAAACAGCTTCAGAAGTCCTTGAACACAGATAAGTGTCCTGGTTTTTTACTCTGAGCCAAGTTGAAATATTTTCTTTCACTTCCAGGTTACATGGGTTAACTTTTTTGGTATATAAAAAGAAAGTCGAGCCATTCGCTAGTTCAGGTAAACTATTCCAGAATAGGTGAGGGGGCTTCAACAACTTCATGGCTTCATGAGAAAATTCCATTTTCTCTTTACTCCATGTTTCCATGAACTTTTTGAAGCCCCCTTATATATCTTACCCTGCCTGATTTTCTCTCTGATCCTGGTCCAAGCCTCCATCTTGTTTCATCTGTGTTACAAACACAGGTGCCTAGATGGCCTTTCCATTTATACCCTTACCCACTTCCAACTACTCTAGACTCACCAGCCACTCTTTCAAACAAGGAATCAGGTCTCCTCCCTCATCACCTCTACTGCAACCACTCCATTCAAGCTACCATCATGGGCTGCTGTGGTCTCCACTATTCTCCCTGCTTCACCCTATGCTGTTCCAGGCTCTAGGATGACCAACACAGACAAAGTCCAATTCGCTCAGAGTCAGCATTCTAGTGAGAGGGGTTGGAAATAAACATTATAATAAGCTAGGAAATCAATATAAAGAGGAACAGATAGGGAGGAGCTGATTTCTGTGGTGTTTAGGTGGCTCCTCTAAGAAGGCAGCTTTGGAGCACAGAGCTGACAGAGGTGAAGGAGTGAGCCCCAGAGATTTGTAAGTAGGGAATGAGCCACTCAATCAGAGGGAACAGCAAGTGTAAAAACCTGAGGTGGGAATGTGCTTGTTAGGTTTGAAAAATACCAATGCGTCAGTGCTGTGAGGGTCAAGTGAGCAAGAGGTGAAGAGACAGAAGACGACAGACCTTACAGGGCATTGATCTCCTCCCCCGTTACCCCTGCAGATGGAGCTGAGATTTTTACCTGTTCAGAGCCTTACCTATCAGCACAGACCTTGCTTTGGCAAATCTGAGCCTGCTCACTGTTTTCCTCAAGGGGCACCTCTATAGGTTCCATCCCTAATGAATAAAAGTTAGAGACAAATTTATCATCATACCGTAAGGAATAACTATGTAAGGAAAAGCTCATTGTCATGGATTTGGTTGGATGTTAATGGCATTGGAATGGGGTTGAATCAAATGAGTGGCTGAGTCTAGGCAATCTTTCTCCAATGCTGAGATTCTCTTCACCGTTATCAGGACCTGCAACAGCGCATGCACTGAGTGGCTTTGTCCTGCACTGCGGCAGTCCCATGCATAGTCCCTGGGACACTCTATAAATTACTCTGAAAGATGCCTCTACTTCTGAATGACTTCACATACTGAGGTCATTGTTGTATGTTGTTGTTAAGCACAGCTGAGTAAGTTCCGACTCATAGTGACCCTGTCTAGGGTTTCCGAAGTTTTAAACCTCACAGCAGCAGAAAGCCTTATCTTTCTCTGGCGGAGCGGCTGGTAGGCTCAAACTGTAGATATTGTGGGTCGCAGTCCAGTGCTTATTGTAGGGAGCCACTGTGCTCCCACGTTGTTGTATGGTGTTATTGTTAAGTGCTATTGAGTTGGTTCTGACTCATACAACCCTGTATATGGTTTCCAAGGAGTGGCTGGTGAGTTTGAACCACCAACCTTGTGGATCACACTGCCCTTGTAGTCCAGTGCTTTATCCTACAGCACCATATCAGGACCCCACATTGTCATATATTGTTGTTTTCCTGGTATGGGAAAGACCATAGTAGGAGCCTTCTTATTCAGAATGCTCCAAAAGTTTATAGAAGGGTTGCGCTGTGTTGAATGATTGTAGGTGCTGCTATTACAGAAGACTGTATATGGAAGAATGGCACAATGCCAGGTATGTACCCACAGGAGACACATGAGCTTGGAACATGGGCTGGAAGGAAGGAACCACCGCAGCAGAGGCAGCATGTGGACAAATACCCATGATGCAAATGCACCCCAGGGAGCCAGTGGGGAAACCTGTTCTTGGCATCTTTCAACCCTCACCCTGAATAAATCACTCAGGGTCTTTAGCCCTCAGTTGCCTTTTAAAGAAAGAGCATTGCAATTTTTTGCTAAAGCATACAAAATCTAGGTTCTCTATATGAAAATAATTCAAGAGGCCTCCAGTAGAGGACCTAGGAACTGAGTTCATTCAGTATGTGCTCAGCTCAGAGATACAGAGAAATGAAAGAAAATCACTTCTGAAATTGTTGTTGTTGTTGTTAGGTGCCATCAAGTCGGTACCAACTCATAGCGACCTTATGCACAGCAGAATAAAACACTGCCCGATCCTGGGCCAACCTCACTATTGTTGCCACACTTGAGCCCACTGATGTTGCCACTTTGCCAATCCATCTTGCTGGGGGGGGGTCTTCCTCTTTTTCAAATCTTTGGGAGGGGAAAGTCTCACTTCAAACCATTATCAGGTTTAGAGCTAAATGTTTGCCCTGGCATACACTGCCAAAGGATATCTACCCTTATCCACCCACAAGCTGGAAGCCCCTACATCTGATACATGTAGGGGACACACACCATCTCATTAAGTGTTTCCAATTTGAAGTGCAAGATGTTTAGCTTTTAGTTGGTTTCTCTCTCCCATTCCTTACAGTCTCCCATTCCTTACACCCTACTTAGTCAGACCATCTTATTTTTCTGTTTCAAAGAATAGAAAAAGGGTAAGCCACTCAACTCTTTTTATATGTTAATATTCTAGATATCTGACCTAGAACACGAAGAGAACAATAAAAAGGCTATGTATCAGTTTCACTAATGAAAACAGATTTTATTTTAAAAATAACAAACCAAATGCTGCAATGTATAAAAAAGAAATTGCCAATTAATGTTTTTATCAGAAGAATGCAAGATTAGTTCAGCACCAGTTATTAGTTAATATACCACATTAATAGATTGTTGGTTGCTGTTGTTAATTACCGTTGAGTCAGTTCCAACTCATAGCACCCCTGTATAGGGTTTACAAGGAGAAGTTGATGGATTTGAACCAACAACCTTGTAGTTAGTAGTCTAGTGCTTACCCTATAGAACCATACCTGGACTCCATTAGCAGATTGATGGTGGTAAAATTGTGTGCTGTAGAGTTGGATCTGACTCATAGCAACCCTGTATAGGGATTTCGGGGCTGGAAATCTTTACCGGACCGGAAAGCCACATCTTTCTCCTGAGAAGCAACTGGTAGACTTCAATTGCTGACCTTGCGGTTAGCAGCTCAGTTTGTAATCCACTAAGCTACCAGAGCGCCTTATTAATAGATTGTTGTTGATGTTGTTGTTAAGTGCCACTAAATAAGTTCTGACTCAGCGACCCTATATACAGTTTCCAAGGAGCAGCTGGTGAGTTTGAACCGCCAACTGTGTGGTTCAAACTGACCTTGAGATTAAGTGCTTATCCTATGGCACCACATCAGGACTCCAGAGAAAGTTTAACTAAAATGGAGATGCCGGGGATTGAACCCAGGGCCTCATACATGCAAAGCATGTGCTCTACCACTGAGCTACATCCCCAAAAGGCTAGAGGAGAAACAATCTGATATCAGATGCAGAAAAAAATATTTAGTAATAAGTGAGTATTAGTCATAATAAGAGTTTTGGCAAAATAGCAGGAAAAAACTTATTCAGCTTGATGAAGCAAATCTATCAAAAGCCTACTATAAACATCATTTTTATTGCTGAAACTTTAGAAGCTTTCCTTTAGTCAATAATAAGAAAGAGTGTCTACCTTCACTGCTTCTACTCGACACTGATCAAGAAGGGCTAGCCAATGCAGTAAGATAAGAAAAAAGAAATAAAAATTGTCGAGGCAGATACAAAACTAGAACACAACATACCTATTTACGTAGAGCATGCACAAAAATCTTCAGATCAACAATAAAGCTAACCAGAATTCAGAAAAGCTACTGGATAAACATCAATATACACAAATCAATCATGTTTCCATACAGCATCAATAACCAACTGAAACATTTAATAGAATCAGATACAAAATACTCAAGTAAATTATTATATAATTGCCAAAAATGTGCAAAACTTTTCTGAAAAGTATTATTAAAACCTTGGAGTAATTATAATCATAGATACTATTTATAGATAAAAGACTCATTATCATGTGATCTAAATTCTTCTGAAACTAACATATGACTTATTTGTAATAAAAAATCCCAACAAGACACATCAATTGAAATACAGAGTGTCATAATATCATTTTAAAAAGTATGAGCCAATTATATGCTGTAAACAAGAAATTCACTCAAAACATAATAATACAGAGAGGATACAAGTAAAATGAGACCATTAAGAAAGTAAAAAGACAACCAAGACATCAAGAAAATATAGAGATAGAATTTTAAAAAAAGTATTTTCAAATCTTGTATCAAGAACATCAACTTAATAATAAAAAGACAACCATTAAAAAATTAACAAAATATTTGAACGGACATTTTTCCAAAGAAGATAAATAAATGGCTAATAACCCAAAGATGTTTTATTCATTAGAGAAATACATGCAAGTCAAACCCACAGGTAATACCACTGCATCCCTACTAGAATGGCTACAATGAGAAAAAAAATTGAAAATAGTATTGGTGTAGACACGGAGAAATTAGAAACTCATACATTGCTAGTGGGAAAATGGTGCAAATACTTTTGAAAACAGTTCCTCAAAACACTAAACATAGAATTAACATAAGACCCAGCAATTCTGCTGTTAGGCACATACACAAGAGATCTGAAAACATATGCTCACATAAAAATTAGCAGAAAAATGTTCATAGCCACACTATCCACAGTAGTCAAAAAGTGGAACCAACTTACATGTCCACCTACTGATGAATGGATAAACAAATGTGGTATATACATTTCAGCAAAATACTATTCCGTAATCATTTAAAAACTGAAGTTCTTACATATGCGACAGCATACATGTACCTTGGAAACCTTACACTGAGTGAAATAAGCCAGGTACACATTCATTTCTATGAAACACCAAGAATAGGCAAATCCATAGAGGCAGAAAGCAGATTAGTGGTTGTCTAGGGGTTGGGTTGTGACTGGGGATGAGGAGTGACTACTAATGGGTGTGAGGTTCCTTTTGGAGAAGGTGAAATGCACAAAAATGGATTATGGTAATGGATACAAGACTTTGTGAATATTACAAGAAACCACTTAACTGTACACTTCAAGTGGATAAATTTTATGTCACCTAAATCTCAATAAAGCTGGAAAATAAATAATGTAAAAGGGTGGAAAATTATACAAGGGTGACTGAAAAAGTATTGCTACTAGGATTTTATTCATATATGCACACTAATTAAAACAGAGCTGAAGTAGCTATATTAATATCAAAGAATTTCAGATTTCACACTTCAGAACAAAGAAAATGATCAGGTAAAAAGAACATTACTTAATGATAACAAGGTAAATTTACCAAGAAGACATAATGATACTCAATGAAGCAAAAATTAACTGAACTATTAGTTTAGGGACAAATAAACCACTGGAACAGAAAAGAACACATAGAGCTAAGAAATACAATCATGATTATATGGAGATGTGACATTTCATGAAAGTATATCTATAAATTGAGGGGACGTTTGAAGTATTTTGCAAATGGTCAGTGGGGTAGGGAAGGAGGAAGAGTGAGACAGGGGAGAGAGAGTTCAGTCATATCTCTCATGCTTTTGTTTTACTTTAAAAAAGTAAAATAGAAAAAAATAAACCAAAAAACTGAAGCAAACAAGGCCAAATGTTAATAATTATTTTAAAATTGTACAGTGTACCTAAATGTTCACTTTATTATTCACTATGCCTATGCTGCCCAACACTAGGCATATGTGGCTTTTGAAATTTAAATTGAATTTAAAATTCCATTCAGGTCTCCCACTAGCCACATTTCAGAAGTTCTGTGACTTGTTGTTAAGTGGTGTTGAGTTGGTTCTGACTCAGAGCGTCCCCTATAAAGTTTCACTGACTGTACTTCTTTGCAGGAGCAGAGAGCTTCACCTTTCTCCCACAGAGCAGCTGGTGGGCTTGAACTGCTGACCTTATGGTTCACAGTCCAGTGCTAATCCTATGGAGCCACTGTGCTCAGTGACTGTTGTTAAGTGTCACTGAGTCAGTTCCAACTCCCAGTGACCCTGTCTAGGATTTCCAAGGAGCAGCTGGTGAGTTTGAAGCTCCGACCTTGAAGCTGAAACTGACCTTTTGGTCCAGTGCTTATCCTACAGCTCAGTGGCTAGTGGCTATAAATTAGATAGTGCCAATATAAAATATTTTCATCATTACAGAAAGGTCTATTGGACAAAGCTGGTCTATGCTTTCGTATATGTTAGGTATTTCATAAAAACAATAAGGAAAAATTGAAGTTTGCAAGTACACTATATGATAAGGAAATATGCAATATAACTGAAAGAACACCATGTAATTCCAAAATTTACACCTCTTACTTTTTCACGGGACTATCAGACTTTACTTCTTCCCCAAAGATTTCCCAAAATGAAGAGGAAAAAACTTTCTATTGTCTCTCCCACATACCATCACATTCTTTAGGATTAATTTGTTAAGTGCCATGGAGTCAGTTCCGACTCACAATAACCCTGCTTAAATTTTCGAATGGATATCAGAAGAGACTCTGAAACTTGCTGTCCAGTGAAGAGATGCTAAAGCAAAT